AATAGTAATAGTTGTAGTAGTAGTAGTAGTAGTAGTAGTAGTAGTGGTTTTTAGTAGTAGTAGTAGTAGTAGTAGTAGTAGTAGTAGCAGCAGCAGCAGTACTTGTACCAATAAAGGTAGTAATGCATAGTGGCAGCAGGAGCACAAGGATGCAAGTTTTCGTTGAGGAAGCATTCATGCAGGGCTGTGCCTGGCTATCCCACTGGCGCTTCCAGTCGCCGCCCAAGCTGCTGCCGCAGGTGGTGCCCCAGCCACCATCCCAGGACATCTGTGGCTGTCTTTTAACACTTGCGCGTAAACTGAACCCTAATTACATGTGTCTTCAATGCTTCGCTGTCCGATGTTCTCCGGTTGGGCGAATGCTTGTGCAGCACGGCTCTGTTGTCGTGCGGCAGCTCGGAAGCACAACTCCGCAAGCTTCCCCGAACTTCGGTAAGACTGCCTTCCGTGAGTCCACAACAAGCCCAGGACTTGAAGCCACAACTTCAAACTTGAAGCAGGCTGCAGTTTTGTGGAGCATCAAGCACGTTCACGACCAGATGCTTCAACGAGTCTTCCTTAAACCTAGGATATCAGGGGAGTTGAGGAAGGCATCCCTGGGACTAGGGAAACCAGCAGCAGTGGGCCCGCGACGGCTTCCATCAGTGCCGTTTCTCCAGCGAAGTCGTCCTGGTAAAGTTTCCGAAAACTCCAGACTCTAAACCTTGAAACCCAAACAAATCCGGCTCTGGTACTGAAGGCCAACATATAGCATACCCTCAATAGCAAAGGCACCCAAAGTTCCTGCATTCCTGTCTGGGGCTGTGTCACACTACAACAACAGACAATCGTAGCAGGCATCGTGAAGAAATTTCATACAAGTGCAGTTCTGCAGGGCTCAGTATGGCACTATTTTGCGGCTAGTGCATTTAAAACAATCCCGGCCCGCGAGGCCGTTAGACCTAGGGTAGAGGATGTCAGCTTGGAGCCGATATGCATGGGAAGAGGAAAGCTGCAGCTTTTCCGGAGATCGGTGCTATCAAGGAGTCCTTCCTGAGAGCGGCTGATTGGCAGCGATTATCTTCTGAGAGACCCTCGACCCGGTAACATCGAATTACCCACTATAGGAGTGAACCCGAAGTGCTGGCAGAAGACTGAACTATTATGTTAGAATGAACGCCATACAGAACCACAAGTGGATGTCCAAGTCGACTCTATCCCGAAAAAATGAGCACGCAAGCAGACGTGGAAGACGTCTGGGGCCCATCTTCTGTTACTCGAAGCCACGCAGTGAACCATAAACCCTTTGTGCATCTGGCCGCCCCACCCGCACAGCCTCAACTCCAAACTCTGAAACGGTAAACTTCACGCGTTCCGCAGGGAAATCCTGGTGGTTCGGGTCGGCGCGTGCCTGATGGCAAGAAGGAGCTCAAACAGGAAGGGATATCTGATAGAATGCTCCTTTAGAGTTAAGCTAGATTGAAAGTGGTAATCGGCTTTCGATAGCACCTTGGCTCCTGCACTCCATCCCCGTTTTTCATCACCATCAAGGGTTTCATTAAACTGCACCTACCATGACCACCACCATCGCGCTCATCTCATCTCCAGGGAGGTTCACCATTGCGATCAAGATCGCTACAAGCTTCCATCAACTCGAACCATCCGTCACCGGCCGTTCTGATTCTCATCACCACCGTCACAGACTTCTGAGGAGCTGCACTGTACTCATCACGAACATCTGTGCCTCCAAAAGTAGCCGAATCACCTCAGGGCGGGCTTGCGCCCTGACCTGATTTGGGTTTGGGGCCGTCGGGCTGTGAGGAGTTTATTTTACAGGTGAGCTGGCGATTGGTAGTTGCTGGCTTGGGGTTGCCTTAGACTCGCAAGTGCGAAACAGCTGCCTCTCTCTTGGGAAGGCAAGGTGGGAACAATCGCAAGACCCTCCAAGCACGATGGTGCCTCTTTTAAGGTTCACTTCCACCGAGACTATCAAGCGCCTGGGCCTAGTCGCTGACACGAAGACAACATGAAGTGACGGCTTGCTTCGGGCCGTGGTGCGTCACTGGATTTTACACTGAAAGCTGTAATGCGAACACGGAGATCGTGGTGTTTCATTACGTGTGTGAGGGTTCCTTATACTTCTTGGAGTTGGAATCGCAACACTTCAGACATCCTGCCCAAAATCCATTCCACGTTGAACGCGCTAGAATTCTTATCATTGACTGTCAGTTGCGTAACCGCTGCTAAACGAACGACTCGTGACTGAACCGAAAACTGGTAGCCTTGCAGGTCTTGCACTAATGATACCTATGCTTTCTTGAACCGTCTTTTAATGCTGCGATCGTTGACCTAGAGCTACTGACCCCTGCAAGTCTCTCTATGACCCGGCAGCCGCGAGCAGCGGTGTCTCGCCCAGGACATTTGGCGCTTGGACATCCTGCACCGCTAGTCCAGGTCTTTTGCATGAAACAACGTGGTACACACTAAGTACATGGAGTGTCAGCTTCCAGTGTAAAGAAAATTGGCTAAGGTGGTCGCGTGGTGTGCCGCGGGCAACGTTCCCTGGGACCCGACGCGGTGCATCGTTTGCTTGCCTCATATATCCTCACGTCCTATATTGACTCTCCTCCCGCCAGTACTTCGGGGAAAGCATGTTGGCCCTCCTCCTGAATCCCACGCACTGCGAGACAGCATTTTGGCCGTGGTCTCAATTCTCATGAATTCTGCCAGTACTTGGGGTTATGCGTTTCGGCCGTGGTCCTGAATCCGCCAGTACTTTGTACTCAGTTCGGCCGTTCTCCTGGTGGTTTGACGCTGGTCTTTTGGGGTTTTTGCAGTGCTCTCCTGGTGTGGTCGTTCCTAGTGGTCTCCTGCTGGTCGTTGGTCATTCTGGTCGTCGCAGTGGTCGTGGGCGACATGGTCGTCAAGGTGCTCTATCGCCGCTTGGGGATATACACTAGGACAGTTCTATTTCCGGATCGGTCGCATGACCCTCTCCTTGCATCTCAGGCCTTTGACGTGTCATACTCACACATGTCATTAAAACTCCAGCGAACATTCGCGAACCAGTTTAAGACTCCAGATACGAAGTAAACACAACCATCGATTCCAAGCCAACGGCCGGAATAACGAGCAACGTCCAAGTAGCAAAGTAGTTTGCAAAGAATGCACCCAACATCTGCATTCCACCTGTCCAGGAGTGTCTAAAGCGTCTTGCAATCTCTTTGTAACGGGGGTCCGCGTTGGCATTGAGAAGAACTCGGACGAGGCTAGCCAACTGGCTGTGGCCTGACAAAAGACGGCATAACCCAATTCCGGCGGCCTGTGCTACCATCCTTCGCTAGCGGGGTCTCTTGATGAAAGCCTACAGATGCCAGCATGATGCTGCAGCCAGCGCCACTGCTACTACCGGAAATCTTAGAGTTGAAAGCCACTCCACCCTTCCGCAGCTCAGGTTTTTTCCTCATAGCATGTGTGCTTCGTGCTCTGGGGCGGTCGTGCTCACAGCTCACATCCGGCCCAGGATGGCATTGAAGGGGCCCAGATCATCATCGTCATCTGCCTCCAACAGGAATCGGCGGTGTCTTGCGGTGGATGACTTAGAAAGATTTTCGGCCTTCGGACCCTTTGAAGGCTGCAACCAAGTGAGCACGTCCGAGAAAAGTCTGAGTCACAGCATCTGCACTGACAATTCCAGATTCAAAAGACCTCGCCACAGGTTCTTGAGCTGTGGTCGCCCTTAGCACCAGACAGCAACCTTCTATCACTGTTCAGTCTTGAATCAGCCATTAGTCTTGTGATTCTCGTTGCTTTGCAACCCTTTGTGCAGCAACTTCATCCAGTTACTCTTCACGGCCTCGTCCTCCTCCGGTGCCGGTGCCGCCTTGGGCGGCAGGATGTCGTTGAAGGGGCCTGGGCCGCAACGGTAGAAGGCTTTGACTTGAGTGTAAGCCTTTCAATACTCCTACAAATGCTGAAGGTTGCCCCGGGAAAGAAAGCATGTCCCATCGCGTTCGATCCCGTAGGTTGAAAGGACAGGGGACCGCCGCGAACTGATCGCGTCCGCGTCTTGTAGGCATCACGCAACAAAGCTCAGCACGGTGTACGATGAACTACTCTGGGCTTGCAGGAAGCCTAACCACACCCCCACTGCCCAATCGCGATGGCTTATGCTTATCCTGTGGGTGGCCGTGTCCAGACCTATGGCCCTAACTCTGACGCAACTTCTCCCGACCTCACTCTCCGCCCGCAGTCCCTGAGCCTGCGGTCTAGTGAAATGATTTTGCCGAAGCAGCCGAGGTCGAGGTCGTCGTCTGCCGGCGGCGCGGTGCGCCTCACAGAAGATCTCTTTCTCACGGATTCTCACGCTCTGCAGCCTTGAAGAAACTGGGGCCCCTGGCTTCGGGAGGACGGCGTTGAAGGGTCCGAGGTCGTCATCCTCCTCTGCGGCTTCGACCGGCTGCTTTGGCGGCAGGATGGCCTCTCTTGCCGTCGAACGTCGAGTAAAGAGATTCTAGGAAGTCAGCGCGGAAGGATGCGCTGTGCGAGGGAAGAAACTCAGGATTGGGAAGGCAGTGCAGAATGAGATTGGCAAGGCTTCGGGCTTCGCAGTGCTGCCGGAAGCCACGCGAGCCCATTATTACTGCACACGAAGTGGCATTGAAGGGCCCCAGATCATCATCGGCTGCATCTTCTGACCAGCGAGATCTGCGATGACCCACCTCTGTGCGAACTGGCTTTCCTCTTCCGGCTGCCAGAGACAATGGCTTCTATGCTTTTGTGAAACCGTTAGACAGGGTTACCCTGTGCTTGTTGTGCGGAAAATTGCGGAACGGTCCAGAACATGCGATTACGCAGCTTGTCGTTCTCTTGCTCCCTCCCTCCCCCTCCCTCTCTACTACTTTACGTATACTCTCATGCATTTGTTCTATTCACTATGATTGCAAGTGAATAGCCAGAGGTCGGGAGTCAAGAGCGAGAGGGAAAGGTAGAGAGAGAGAGAGAGGCGGGGAGAGAGAGAGAGAGAGACAGAGAAAGACAAAAACCCATGCACGTAAGCGCCGCCCCCGATCCCAAAGGAGGAAATGGTGGCAACTGGAGCTATCGATGGTCATCCAAAGCAGGCATGTAAGCATGGGTCGAACATCCAACCAGCTTTGAACCTGGAGCTCGCTTAGGTGCCAGGACAGGGCAGAAGTGAGACTCGCCATCGCAGTCAGAAGCTTCATACGTCTGCTCTGAGAGCATGCACTTGAGGAATGTGCCAGCAGAAATAACTCCAACACTTAACCCGGAACCCTAAGCTGACGAGGAACGGAAACCGCGGCCAGAACAACGCAAAGAGTCAAGAGTGTGAGATGCTATTGGGAAGTATTGGGATTTCGGCAAGAGTGCTCTCGGAGGTCAGCGAGGCTGAAAACGAGTTCGTCTGACCCATAACTACCGTTCCTGGGTAGTATAAGATGGCATTGCAGGGACGTTTGCAAGAAGCTGAAACGTTCACGCAACCGGAAGCAATGTCGACCTCGCTGTCGGCTGGTTGGGCGTGATCTGCAGGCTCCTCTGAAGCTAGAGATGTGCAGTGCAGTGCATCACGTATTTGTAAAACTATACCCAGATCAGTCCCATCACCCACAACAGCAGCATTGCTTGCACCATGCTGGTCATCATGCCGTTCATAACACACCTCATCATCTCCAGAATCCTGCAGAAGCGTCACACCACTGTCGTCCTCGAACGTCTTACCATCATCGTTGCCCTCATCGTTGTTTCTTTGTTGATCCGTGTTGGCGTGCTTCCGACATCGCCATCATAATCATCATCATCATCATCATCATCATCACACTTTGGTCATCTCCACAAGCAGTACATAGGTAGTTCTTGAGCCCTGCAGCTGTTGGTATTCGATAATAAGCCTTGCTCAACTTCGTGTAGGCTGCCTGCAAAGAGATACAGCTGTCTGAACGCACGAAGATGGTCTTGCATGCCGACTCGGCTTTGCACTCCTCAGGATCCATCCATCTACTTTTCGGCTTTGGCTGCAAGACTGTCATCGAAAGCTTGAAGAGGATTGCAACAGCCAGGAGAGCATGCGGAGAGCTCCGGCATGTGGACAGTTTTGAGATTCGAGGTATCGGAGGGGTTCTTGACAGTTTCATGAGACTTCTCTCTTGTCTCACAACTCTTTGCCGCCATAACCCCCCTGACACTAGTAGAAGGCTCACTGCTGCCGGATCCTGCATGGTCACCTCAATGAACCCCAGGAGCGGAGAGAAGCGGCAGGCCTGAACCCGGACTAGGAAAGGCATACCTACTATACTGTGCTATGCTCTGCTATGCTATCCTATGCTATGCTTTACTATGCTATACTACATTACGATACAATACATTACATACATGTACATGCGTAAAAAACGCACGAAGAATTCCTCCATACATGCAAAAATCCCTACATCCGTACATACGTTACAAGCGCATTGCAAAAACATCGTGTGCATTATGTACATGATCTGTACTAACCCACATTCCACATTACATTGCATACTTTGCATACATTCCATACATAAATGCATTAGATACTTTGCATACATAACATTCATAGCATGTACATGATACATACCTTGCATATAATGTATACAATTCATATGTCGCCATACGTACGTACCGTACCTCCATCCATCGATCCCTGCATCCAGACATTATACATGTATTCTACAAAAGATGGCACCGTGTCTAACATAATACTACACGATGCAGCCGTCAGCGCACAATAGCCAAATTTGCAGCACACGATAGAGTACAAAGCAGTGCAGCGTACGTAGTGCAATGGAATTTCATGTAAGAAAACGGTTCAATAATCATGATGTGCTTTCAATCGTGTGTAGCATGTATAGGCAATGATAAGACATAGTAATAGATAGCACAACACATGCAACATACAAGGGAAGGCGTAACAAAATAGATACAGATCAAATCATGTGCCGATGTTAGAGCGTTTACATGTGTATATGTGTATGTATATATGTATATGTACATATAAATATATACATACATATCCGTGTGTGTGTGGTTTACTTCTAGAGCGAGCGAGGCATACACATATGCCTGAAAACAGGGCGACAGCTATGTCCATCTTAAAATGTGCAAACACATGCATGGGTGGATGCGCGAACCTGAAGGTAGACGTATATATTTCGTGGTATCAACAACATATGTCACATGTCGACCGACGGATTGAGAGAAAGCCGGCAAAACGCGAGGAGAGCACGGGAACGGCAGGGATGGAGAGAGGGAGGGAGTCGCAGAAGGAGAGCGCGCAGACATGAACGTTTGCATGCGCATGCACACGCACACGCTCACACAGACACACAAACAAACAAACAAACAAACTCTCTCTCGCTCTCTCACACATACGCACACACAGACACGAGAACGTGCGCGCGCATGCGCGCCTTTGTGCATACCCAACCCGCAGCGAATCCTGCTGGATCGATGCAAATGTTGCAGCCACATGCATGTCTCTATATGACTGTACGTATGTATGGCATACGTGTATGTATGTATGTACGCAGTGGATAGATGCAAAAGTTGCACCTACATGTCTACAGAGACAAGTCATACACATTTATATGCCTATATGTCAGTATGCATGCATGCATGCATGCATGCATGGGTGGATGGAGGGATGGATGGACGGATAGATATTATGTGCATCTCTTTTGTTGGCTCAGATCTTCCTCCCTTCTGGTGGAGTACGACAGTGAAGAAAAACGAGAACCGTGGCAGCGACATCCTGGCTACTTGTGCATATGTAAACCTCTCATGCGTTTTCCGTCTTCGTTCTGCATCCGAGAAGTCCCCATCTTGAACCAGATTACCCTGCCGCGCCTCGACTGCAGACTCGTAGTCTGCAAATTCGGCAGAGCCGTTTCCGGAGTGCTGGCCCGTCCTGAGATCGGACTCAGGTCCGGTTTGGAGTTCAAGGCTTTTCACACTCGCACCACCTCGCAGAAGGCAGGCAAGGATCCCAACCAAGTAAGCCTTACAGAATACAACTCGCACACCGATCGCAGAGGAGTGCATAAGCAACCCAAACCAACAAAGGAATCGTGGTTAAGGGCTTTAACTTTAAGCCTTCTTGTTGTAGAATTATTGGCTCTTTCACATGTTAACATCCTTGGAGCCCTCAAAAATGAACTAAAAAAGGAGGGAAGCCACATTTTGTAGCAATGATTGCAAAACACAAACCTCAAAATTGCCAGGAATCTCCAAGTCGGGGGGATGGAGGGGTTCAGAATAACCAGCCCGAAAGCTACAGGGCCCCAACGCCGACCTCCATCCGAAACCCTGAACCCTTTTTCGGGGAGGGCCGCAGCGCACATGCCTCCACCTAAAACCTAAAACATCCTAAAACACTGAGACCACAAAGTGCTAAAGCCCCCAAACCCTGAACCCTGAAGCCACGGCCGGCCCAAAGAATGGCAGTCGGGCCACGACCGGTCATGGGCCAAGTGCAGGCTCTTGACTGGACCACCAAACCTCAAGAAGCCGGCTGCTGCGAGGAAGGGAAGGAATAAAGCTGCTTCGGGTTTATGAACCGGGTTTTGGTTTACGCTCTCGCAGCTCGGACTGGCCAGATGAGGTGCTGTACAGGAAGCCTTACTGCAAGTCCAGGTCGACTCAACCCCTCAGCCCTCGAATTCTCACCACGAAGTCACCCAAAGCCCAAGCTGAGACCTTGAGACCGCTAAGCGAGACAAGGAGCTGCGCGAGCAAGTCGAAAACACTCCTCAGCGGTCCAGACTGCACGACGGAGGCATCAAGTAAGCCCACAAGAACCGTCCTGAAACCAAGTCAAGTCAGTAGATCATTGAAGCTCACTCCAAACGGCCAGAATAGTTTCCCGCTCACAAGATCCACCAATTGGACCCTAAACCCAACGTGGCTCTCTTCCATAAGCGAGTCTCGTGCTATTCATCGAGGTCGGTATGCCAGAGAGCTGGACGCTGACGGGCCGAGACTGGGCCTGCTACAGCAATGCTTCATCGAAAACGGCAACAGACCCTGGAGTATGAACTCCAAGCCAATTCAGAAGCCCTGTTCCTGGACACCCTAACCCCGATCCCCCCTCTCTGGGAATCGAAAACACCCACCCTGGACCCCAAGCCGAAGCCTTCGCTGACACAGAGGGCTCTGCGGGCTCGGGCTCGAGAAGCTCTGGAGGGAGCTCGCCAGAGACGAGGTCCTTCAGGGCTTCCGGTTTCAGCGAAACTTATTTGGAGTTCAGCACTAAGAACGCAGACGTGTCTGGCAAGGACTCACCTCCTAATTCTCTAAGCATCGAACAGTTGGACTCTCGCAACTCGGACTTTCTAGGCGAGGCTGATCGGGCTGAGGTTGCGCTGAACCTCATGATGATTTCTGGTTTTGGGCTTCGGGATTTCGTGGCAGCCTGTGCTGACTCTCTGAAATCAGTTTCCACAGATGCTTCGTCTCACAAAAAAACGAGGCTCAGAGATTCAAGAGCCGGAGGTTAAACACGGGTCGGCCAAAAAGAAGTCTCCTGCAGAGTCGAGCTCAGGATGGATCGGTTGGCCGGAGGCGCAGAGCAGCCAGGGGGCCGCCGAATGGACAGTCCGGCGCTCCTCGGCGGGGCGGGTGGAGCTACTGGGAGCTCTAGGCTCCTTCGACGAGCATGGGAGGTCTTCTCAAGGCACATAGC